TTTTGAATAACAATGTGGAAAGTGTGTGTGCGCGCGCACACACACACACACACACACACACACAGAGTTATTTTGTCGTCAACCTTAATTTGTGACCTTAGCTCCCATAGTGGCCCTAAAGACTGATATGGTCTCTGTCAGTGCTGTGCCCTTAGGTAGTGAAGCAGCACGGGTCCCAGATGGATTTGGATCAGAGCTGAATGGTGCATTGGATGAGATCTGTAAATGGAATAAGGCAGGAGATTCAACTAAAAAGGAGGGCTGGATTCAAGATCAGGCTGTGACCTGATCCAGAAAGTGTTTTGGAGCCCTACTCTGAGAAGCATTTTTGCCTGTAAGCTGAATGGTGCATTGGATGAGATCTGTAAATGGAATAAGGCAGGAGATTCAACTAAAAAGGAGGGCTGGATTCAAGTGTTTTGGAGCCCTACTCTGAGAAGCATTCCATATTTGCCTGTAATACTATGTTGGATTGCAGCCAAGGGTTAAGGTAAACTCTTGTTTGATGAACAGTCTCTTATTCAGACATGGTGACACACAGCCGATTTCTCTGTTAGCCAGGCAAAGGGCCAGATCGGATGCTGTCCATCTGTCTGTTGGGAAAAGGATTCCTTTCCCTCCTGCAGTTGCCATATCACTGTCCATCTCTTTACTCTTTCAGCAAGCAGAAAGATTACTGTTGGAACCATTAAAAAAGACTAAGAAGAAAGAAACATCCATGTGTTAGAACTGAAACTTGGTGTGCCATATGGATTGAGTTACACATCCAAGCACATTTTGCTTCCTTGAGTCAAAGAGGTGTAACACATTTTGTACAAATGGCACTAATATAAATATACTCCTTGAAAAGTCAGCCTTGAGTGAGAAGTAAATCAAAGATGGGCTTATTTTTGTGTCTAAGCCATTACATTTGCCTGATTTGCATATGCAGAATAAATTATGTATCTGCAACCATTGTATGACGTACACTGGCTCTCGAATTATGGTTAGTCTGTGTGCAGGATTTACAGTAGTATACTATGAAAGATTTGCAAAGAAAGAGAGAGATTCTCACAGAGATATTTAGTTATTTATGGGAAATGTCCTTATACTGAGACAACCTGTTAGTCCATGTTGTTCAGAATTTTCTACATTGGGCCCTCCTGAGGCCACTGGACTCTAATACTCGCCAGCCTTCCAGCTTGACTCCATAATGAGACATGATGAGCACAGTCGTTTATTATTCTTGGAGATGCAGAGGTTCCCATTTGGGCTGACTGTCAGTGTTTCTCCAGAAATGCACAGAGAAATCTTTCTTAGCCCTGTTGCAGAGATCAGGGGCAGCGTCTAAGCCTTTTACATTTCATTCGCATGTTCTACTCAATGAATTATAACCTTTGATTCTTTGTGCCTCAGACATCTCATATTTCTAGCATTCATTGAGATATTGCACCCTGCCAGGAGAGGAATTTCACGAGGTACAGTCTTTTTACAGCCTAGCGGACCATCCTTTCCATTCTTGCATTGAGATCCAGCATTTATACAAGTAAAGTGGGGCCATTTTCCATCTCCGTCTACCCACTTCTTCCACCCTGCCTTGGTTGAATCACCACATGGAAGAAAGAAAACGGTACTGAATGTTCTTCCTTTGATGTGGGTGGCCCCAATCTGACGCCTAGAGAGTTCCTTAGTGCATAAGTTTAATGGCTTGTACGTATGTTGTTTGAAGGTTGTCCACTTTTAATTCCAGGAAAGCAGCAGCTCTCTCTCTCTTGCTCTGTCTCTCTGTCTCTGTCTCTCTCTCTGTGTGTGTGTTTGTGTGTTTCCCCACCACCACCTAAACAGAATAAGTGAGAGTTTGAGTACATATTGTATCCCAAGAATAGGACACAGCTGACCAAAACAGTTCTGTAACTATGCCCAAAGTCTGTCTTTGTGTCCGATGAGAGAAAGGCTCATCCAGGATATCTAGGATGGGATCGTGAACAAAGGTGCATCAGGAATCGTTCCTACCTCGCTGGTGGAGGTTAAAAAAGAAGAAGCTATCTAGTGCCAGCTTTGCTGTATCCCAGACCCGAGCCAATGAGAACTAATGCAGGCCTTTTCTGCATTGTTTTTCCTTCTGTTTCTCTGCCTTCCTTCTGATGGAAATGATGGCAGAGGAGCTTTTGGTGGCGGGAGGGGGGAGAATTTGGAGATTCTGTTAATATGGGTATAGATCTCATGGCAGCCAAAGGTAACATCTTAAACAATGCGCTTGGCTCACAGACTTGTTTGAGGAGGAGGCAGTCAGACATTTCCAGATTTCTCTTGGCTGTGAAGCTGGTTCCTCAGTCTCCCCAAACTGTTTTTCCAGTCGATTCTTAAAATCGTGCCTTTTCTTTAGGCCTCCTTCATCTTGCCCAGGTGAGAATCAAGACTGTGCCTGTGTGTCGATGTGACGATTCTTCTCATTTTTAAAAAGCAAAATGAGGAGGCTACTTGTGTGTGCAGTGGGCGGCTTTTCAACAGGGCAGTACCAGGGTGGGTGCAGTTCTATATGCTTTGCCAAAGGCAACATGAATTTCTTTGCCAATGGAAAGTGATTCTCTGACAAGCTTCCTGCGGTTCACCCCCCCCCCCAAAAAAAAACCCACACAGGGCAAGAAATCAAGCTTGGAAGACCCACCAGATCCCGTCAGTTAAGAAGGAACATTGTGAATTTTGTCTCTCTGTGTGTCTTGTATCGATACTAAGGGAATAAGCTATCCAAGGCGGTGATTTATATTTCTATGCAGAAATCTGGAACTGTAGGTGTGTGCCACCCACACCCGGGGCATGGGTAGCAAGGAGTCCCTCTTCAGCCATGGCCTCCATACATTCAAGACTTCTAGGGCTTCTGAAACTAGACTTTATTAAAAAGGGGAAACAGGTATAAAGAAAGGTTGGGTGCCAGCTGCACCCCATACTGCCCAAGCCTGAGTTCCACTCTCTATACTCGGGCTTGATTGATGCCAGGCTTTCCAAAACAAGCCGAGCTAACACCCTTTAAGGAGGGTTTTAATACCTGGACAGTCACAAGTTCCTGGGACCCTCGCGTCCTTCCTGCCAGTGCCTCTGTTGAGTCTAGGTGGGGCAAAGATGCCTAGCTGGGCTCCATGGCCTTAGAGGGGTCAGAGGTGGGGTCAGACTGAATATGGTGTAGCTCCTCACACCCTCATCACTTTGTCACTTCAACTTGGACCCATACCACGATCTGTGGGTTCTGTGCTGCCACAATGCTTGTCTTTCCCCAGCTCTTCCTCCCTTAAATTGGGTTTTCAACTGGGCCGAGTCTCTGTCCCCTCGCCCAGGTGTGGTCCATCTGCCTCCTGCTTCTTTTTTCCCACCCGGGTCCTCCATCTTCTTCTGTGCACTACCCTCCTGGCGCCTACCTGCTAGAGCTCCTGACCTTCCAAGGGGCACAAGGTGAGGGCAGACAGCCTGCCAGGGACCCCCAGAGCAGCCCCCTTAAAGCAGGCGCTCATGACGATTAACCCCAGAACCAGAGCCAGCCCTTTCCATGCAGGAGAGAACTTCATGCAGTCAACACTGTACTCCACTGTAGATGTCACTCTACCCTGTATGCATTGCACGGGAAAATCATTACCGCGTAGGTTGGCTAGCTTTTTGGGGAATTTGTTTGCCGTTATTGACCTCCTTGTTGAGAAAGTTCATTGACAAACTTAGCAAAGGATTTCCTTGAATGATTAAATTCTACTAAATAAATTATGAAAGCCAGAGATGTTTGCAGGAGTGCTAATTCTGTTGCAGGCACTGCCCAGCTCTAGTAAGAGTCACAAAGCTTCTCAGGACAGGTTGCTTTAACTGCAGAGGCACGAACTGGGGGACGTAGGAATGGTCCCAAATCTCTTTGACTTGGCTGCCATGTCTTTGCGCCCTGGAAGATTTTTGTCTGGGAGGGGAAAGGGAAAGGAGAAAAGAGAAAATTGCAATCTTTTTGCTCCTTCGGGAGAAGGGGGAAAGTTGTGGATGCCAAATACAAACAGTCTAAGAATGGTTTTCTCAAGCAAAGCCAGTAGCAATTTTGTGCCTCCCAAAGGGCCTGACAACTTGGTTTCCCTCTGCCCAGTAATTATGTTGCATTTGGACGAGAGACTAAACACATTCTCGGAGAGTACGGAAAGGAAGACTGATTGCAGCCCTGGCTTCGAGGTGAGGCTTGACATGGCTTGAGTAGATAAATCATCCATCATCACTCTCTTGCTTTTGCAGCTTTCACCTTTTTGCCAGGAAACGTCCGCAGTTCCTACCAGAAGGAAGTCTTTCATGTGTGTGCTGAAATTTTGGATGGCACGTTCTCTTTGCTCCAGTGCACCACTAGTGGAGCTAAGAAATGCGCATCTCGAGAATTTCGTTTTCTAAGACAAAAACCAAAATTAAGTCAGACCTGAAAAATCTAAATCCATCTTGTTGGTTTCTTACATGGAAGTGCTAAGCGCTTGGAAACTGAGTTGCACTGAGCGCAGAAGGACCTACCGCTCAATAAGTATCCACTGTTAATCAGCTTACCTCCAGCATTTTAAAAGTGTCCTTAAGCAACACATGGATAATAACCTCAGGTCTCATACACTCCTTAGCTTCTCAGTTCTGTCTTCTCCTTTATTCAGACCTTTAAAAGTGAGTAGGCACTTTAAAAGGTTTTAAAGTATTACATATATAATAAATGTACTGTATATTATGATATTATATACAAAATATTTCAGAAGTTCTGTCGTCCTTTCCAAGACCAATGAAAGTTCTAGTCTGCTTAATGAATGAAGAATGGAACTGAAATAAACTATGCAAAAAGAACCTTAAGCGAATTGTTTACAAGTTTGTGACACAGGCCTTGATTGCAGACTTCTATTTGGGGTGTCGGGTCAGATCCAAAATATATATATATATGTACTTGTTCAGACTACTTTCAGGACAACTAAATGCCAATACATGTTTGGTGTGTCTGGTCTTCTCCTCTTAACCAGTTGTTTCCTTTCTTCCAGGTATGCTTCTAGTCACGGCAGATACACTTGGCCATGATTTCCATGTCTTCCAGATTCTGACCCACCCTTCATCATCTTCACAAAGTGCCGTCCATCACTTGTACACATTACACCGAGGGGAGACAGAAGCCAAAGTGAGTTGCAAAAGAAACTACTAAATGTGTTCTTCAATCTAACTTGGCAGTGAGGAGCGTGAGTGTCCTTGGAAAAAGCTTGTCTCACAGTTATGTCCGTGCAAGGCCACTTATGATGGGTGTGGGTGTTCCTCATCTAACAAGCTTAGGTGTACATGTACATTTTAACAGGAGACTAAAACACGGCTGCAAATACTTCTAAAATCAGCAAGTGGCTATTTGCAAAATGTTTTGATTTTGGTTGGACCTTTCCATTGAAAGAGGGCTGAAATGCCAAGATGTTAAATTCATGGACATAGATAGAGGTCTGAAAGGCAAAGTTGTGAGACCTACTACATGGAATAAATTTGATGGCCTTTTTTTTTTTTTTTTTTTTTGCTAGACAATTTATCTCAGAGTGCTTGCACAATAAAACTCTTACTAGTCGTGGCAGGTCCTGAATGGCAGATACACAATGTAGAGTCTCTTGCTGTTTGTGTAAAGTTAAACAATTGCAAAATGCCTCTGAGAATCCAGTGGAAGGTGTTGCCATTGATTACAATTCTCTTATTGCTTTCCAAGGAGTTAAGCCCCACTGAAATAAACAGGATTTTTCCTTTCTGATTGCTGTTGCGTCAGATGACACTGTCATGGTGACAAGTTGTGTCTTGCTGACCTAGCACTGAGTGACTTGGGGAAATTAGCATTTTGGCTTGAGCTTGGGAGCAAATAGACAGGTCCTGTAGTGGTGCAGGATGAGTACTGTATTAGGTTGCTGGACCTACCCAAACAAGTTAGCAACTGCATATTCTGCCAGATAGATTCTGGTCTGTTTTCAGAGGAGCCCCATGTAGAGAGCGTTACTAATGTTTTGTCTGGAAGTGGCTAGCCACTGTTGATTTTTTTTTTAAATGCCTGGCTACTGACTGGTCATTTGTGCCTCCATAGGCAGAGCTAGGTACCCAAGATCATTCAGACTACAAACCTTCAGTGGGAAGGCAACTCCATCAAGAACCATTACAAACCTCTATTGAGATCAACAGTCTTTAAAAAGCAACCATTTTATCTGGATTAAGTTTTACCTTCTCAGACATTCTCCAAATTGCCTCTGGACATCAATTAGGAATTTTTACTGCCTCTTGGGAATTACCAGTTTAGAAACCAGAAATAGATCTTGGCGTTATACATGCACATTGATGACACCTCTGCCCAAATGTACAAATAACTTCCTGGAAAACACTTTGGGTTTGAATGAGCCCAGGTTCAGTACATTTTGTGTCAAGGCTGAACTGGAAAATTAAGTGTTTGCTTTAACTTTGTCCCAACTTTCTCCCACTGAAATAGCTGGTATTTGAAATGCTGAACTTTGGCTGTGAATAGTCACCTTTTTCCTCCTAATCCTGTTCAGTGTCATTGCCTGACTGTTGCAGGCAGTGACACATTAGTGAGATAATTAGACCTGGCCCATCAGGGGTCTTATAGTGAATGGCCTGATGTCACTGAGGGCAAGAGAAGTCAAGTGAAGCTGAATTAGAACAAGAAAAGGCCATGTAAGTGGGTTGGTGTGTTCTTCAGACATGTAGAAAAATCATCAAGGAAAGGGAAATGTAGTTGCCAGTGTTCACAAAAAGCTGTGGGCTGTATTGGCTTGTCTATAATTTATTTAAATATATGCAATTTTAAGTTGGCCCAAAGACTGGGGTTGAGAATGAACTTTACACCAGTTGAAATGACAATAAGAGGTAAGCGTATGTATGCCTAAGCTGCTCTGAAACCAGCCATGTTGGCACCCTAGTTGACAAAAGGTATATGTTTGGGTTTTACAGCACTCTCCCCCTCCAACACGCTTGAAGATGTCTGCCAACCATGCCAAAGTTGTGGTTGAAATTGCCAAGGACATCCTATCATTTTGAACATTTGTGTAATTGCATGTATGTGTTTTTAGCTCCTGCGTGTAGCAAAGTACATCCACCTCTGCAGTGAGAAAAACAGGGCATTGACAATGCCTTGGGCTGCAAACAGCTTGTGTAAACTGTTGTGTGACAGGCAAGGATTTTTGAGGCTGTGTGTTCAGTCCAAAGTCTATAATTCTTAGCAGCGGGTGTCTCGCTGTTGCCACTGCTGTATTTACATGCAACGGTGCTTTATAGACAGACTCGCACATAATTGGATGTGCAGGAATCGTGAGCCGTGTGTAGCTGCTGCTCAACAGAGTTGATGTGGATCGTGGGCCTTAACATACTTTTCCATTCTTCCCAAACTGAGACTGAGCCACATATGTCTCTTCTGGTTTTGGTGGCTATAACTCTCCCTAAAAGTTGAGAGTTATTTGGCAACTTTCTGTGAAAGGTGGTGTTCTAAATATGCCTTTAAAGATGAAGTGGTGGAATTTGACAAGGAGGGGGGAAAAGGCTTTTCCATAGCCAGTTAGTTGTACTATTTTTATACCCCAGTGTATAGCTGGCAAGCCTCTAAGACTGACCTACCGATGCTTTTAAAAAGAAGACAAAACACCCCCCACTTGTATTTACATTCTTAAAAGACACAATCTGAAAAAGATGCAGAAGGAGAGAATATGGGAAGAAATAAGAAGAAAAAGGATACTCTGGAACAGGTTTTTAACATTATGAAGTTTCTGAACTTGGTGGAATGGCCGCTTGGTAAAAGCTGGAGAGACGTGGAGTCTTGATGGAGCTGTTGCCTGTCAATAGGGTGGTCCTGTTTTCCCCATAAGCAATACTGAGGAAGGTTGTTTTGCTAAGGAGTCAAAGCTGATGAACAACGCACAATACCGCACGGGATCTAAGAGGACAAATTTCCTTAAAGTAAAACTCCCATCCAAACAGGGAATCCTTTTCTAGGCTCCTCTGCACACCCAAGTGAGATAACCCCAGATGCCTTCCAGGGGGCCTGCCCTCAATCACACCTTATGACCAGCAGCTCAATAGCCAGTGTGGGTGGATGGGGTCACTCCAGAGGCTAAGAACACTTTGTTGTCCAAAAGGATGCCCCAACCTGCGGTTTTGGTTGGCAGGATCGGAATTAAGAATTCTCTTCCTGTCTCTTGCTCTTCTAAAAAGAAAAAAAACAACATTATCCAGTATTGCTTCACAGTGAAGATCTGATAGCCGGGATATCTAGATATACATTGGCCATTAAATGAATATTTTGAGCCTCATACCTTGCCGTTCCAAACCCCCCCCCCCCATGTCTGTGGAAACTGGAATGCTTGAAATGCCTTGTATAGGTGCTGAGCATAGTGATTACTGGGTAAAGGAAGCACACCATGTTCTGGAGGTATGCTGTCTTCCTCTGTAAACAGATAAAAGGTTTGGTTCTTGGCCCAACTGCACTTGTCTCTTTGATCTTTGAGTGTAAACACACACACATGCGCGCGCGCACACACAGCGTTATCTCAGCCCCAGGCAAATAAACGCAGCGATAACAAGGCAGGCTGGTGGCCAGAAAACCTGTGTAATCTTCTTGCCATCCGACTCCTGCTTATTCTGACTCCCCAGCTGTTGTCACAAGCAAGATTGCCTGAGCCTCCTCAAACAGAGAGGGCTGTGTCATCGTGCCGCTGGGTTCCCCTGAAAGGCGGTGCTGTTTTCTCAGTCTGTTCAAGATTGTTTTCCCCTAACACAAATTCTGTCCAAAGTATGTTTAAGGTGAAGCCTCAGGTACTGACTGGGGTTGTTTGTGATTCATTATTTCCTTTTTTTAAAAAGTGTTAGGTTTTACAGGCTATGAGTTGGTGGAGATGTGTCAACCCTGCACAGGGAGAAGGAGTCAGTGGAGGACAAATCCCATCTCAAGCCTTGTTGGCATTTCCAGTGTTGAACCTGTTGAACTAGCTAATGCCCTTGTAAACAAAATATTGCTTTCACCATAGGGATTCAGAATTTTTGTCAGGAGCTGACGGAATCTGACAGCCAATGGCTGCTTTCAGTTGAACCTTGAAAGTTAAATTTATGTATGACTCTAGGGTGGTTTCCCCCAGCTTGGAAGAGGAGAGGTTAATGGAAAGGAACATGATCAGATTTGCTCTGTTTGTCTACTAGCTGCTCCTGGCCTTCTTTTAGACCAGTGGTTCCCAACCTTGGGTCCCCAGATGTTGTTCTTGGACTAAAACTCCCAGAAGCCTACACCACTAACTGTGTTGGCCAAGATTTCTGGGAGCTGTAGTCCACGAACATCTGGGGACCCAAGTTTTGGAACCAGTGCTTTAGACATACTGGCTGGCCAAGATCTGCAGCCATCTGCTTCCTGGTGAACAAAAGAAATCTTGACAAATTTCTCATTTTATCTGCTTTGACTTGTCTCTTTTGCACATGAAAAGGACTATGAGTATTCAAAATACTTTGAGGGGACACCACAAAGCCATTGTTTGTTGCTCACATGGGGGTGGGGTTGATGATAAAAGGCAAGAACTATAATAATTGGCTGGTGTCCCTTTAGCCGTTCTCAGGAAAAGAGAGGACGGTTGATCAAGACTCGGCCCTTCAGATGATTCCCAGCCTTGTGACAGGGACAATCGTTTGCTCCTCTTTTCAGCTCCCAAATTGGATCTTGGCCCTGTGCTGCTAAGGTGCTGCTTCCCAGCATTGCTCTTTAATCAGGGTTCCACATTCCCACACAGTGGAAGAGGGATGCTGTGGACCTCTGATGAATGTGGAACCCTGGCTCAAGAGTCCTGTGAGTGACCGAAGGCTATCCTGAAGGAGCCAGATGTGGACCTCTGATGAGTGGCTCAAGAGTCCTGTGAGTGACCGAAGGCTAAGAGCTGTGCTGGAGGCCCAAATAAGAAGTGCATAAAGCTAGACTTGAGTATTTGAGATTTGGGAAGCCTTGTGATACGATACTTTTGTTTAAGGCACACACAAACAGACATACACAGGCATGCCGCTGCCACCACCGCCACCACCCTGTTCACTTTTACCAGCCTAATGTCTTTGGTGAAGCATGGAATGTGACATAGCATCTCCCTCGCCCCAGATTGCCTACGTACGTAGCAAACGGAT